CCAGTTCTAAGCGCCATTTTTGGTGCCTTCTTTGCCAAGGAGAGGGAAAAGAGTGATGCTTCTTGTTCTCCCTGTGGTCGACGGCACGACCCCGCGCAGGACCACCTCCTGAAACCGGTGTTTTACCTATCCGAGGTACTGGGTGTCGATGGTAGTGCGTTGGAAAGGGGAAACCCAGTTCATATTGAACACTGCCTTCGCGAGGACGGGTCCTGTTTCTGGAGCTTCAATACTGTACTGCGGCCGTGGGAATTGGGTCGTCCAGGTGCTCTGTACTCTTGCGCTGCCTGCTGGGGGCTTCTTCTTGACGTTGGTGGTGGTGGTTGCTGGCCGGTAATGGTAAAGCCAGGGATGCGCAAATACCCACTGGCAGCACTGCGTCACACCTTGGTACAGCGAGGGTATCGCTGGACGTGTCCACTGGAACGAGAGGGTGGGTTGCGCGTGTGTTTCGGTACATCTAGTTCGCAAGCAGCAAGATATTTTGGTGTAGCAACTGATTCAGTGTTGTCGGAATGTTTGGTTTTGTCTCTTTCAGGTTATGTTGATATGTTTCTGGAACGGTATGAGACTGATGCGGCTTCGGAGGATGGAGCGTCGTTGAGGTCTGCACCTGTTTTGATACGTCGTGGTGTGTGGAAACGACAGGTTTTGGATGAGAATCTACATCTTATTCCAGACGACTTTTTCTTGAGGTTTTCTACAACGCCACACTGCGAGCCTCCTGATTTTGTTGCAATTATGCGATGGGTACTTGCTGTTATGGCGGAGTTAGGTCCTGAAGAAGTGTTTATCGAAGACGCTGCAGGTATCCTTCTGTGATTAGATATGAAAGGTTAGTTGCAAGGGAAAACGAGTATGTGTTTCGGGATGTGTTGCTTAGACTACTGAATGGGAATAAAAAGGAGGCAAATAGAAAGAGTAGTTAAATTTTTGTTTTTTTTTTCGGTTTCAGAGATGATGATGATGATGATGTCAGTGTATTTTTTTTTTTTTTGTTTCTATATTTTTCATGATAGCTTACAGGCGTGAGAGTTTGATTTGTTGCTAATAATAAACTATCAGTGCAAAGGAGGAATAATATATATATATATATATATATATATATTTAAAACGAGAATTTGAAGCCTATAATAGTGAGTTAACAAAGGAAAAAATGGCAGGTAAAGAAGACTCAAGGGTTACAGTGGATTACACTTGTGACAATCCCCTTTTCGCCCTTTCTCCATTAGATGGACGATATAAGCGTAATACTACTTCACTACGCGGTTACTTTTCTGAGTATGCTTTCTTCAAGTATCGTGTGCGTGTCGAAGTAGAGTACCTTGTAGCACTCTGTAAGGAGGTACCGGCAATAATCCCTCTCCGTGATGTCAGTGATGCTCAGTTGCAGCAACTCCGAGAACTCGCAGTGAACCAGTTTTCCCTTGCTGATGCGGAGGAAATTAAGAAGACTGAGCGTGTGACAAATCACGATATCAAGGCGGTGGAGTATTTTTTGAAAGAGCGCATGAACAGCTGTGGTCTAGGGCACTTGTCTGAATTTGTGCACTTTGGCCTTACTTCACAGGACATCAACAACACCGCAATTCCAATGATGCTTCGAGATGCAATGACATCAGTATACCTTCCAGGTCTTGATGGCGTTATTTCTGCACTGGAAAACAAACTCAGCGAGTGGGATGTACCGATGCTCGCACGCACACACGGTCAACCGGCATCACCGACGAATCTGGCGAAGGAGTTTTTGGTGTGGATTGAGCGACTGAAGGAGCAACGTCGTCATATTGTTGAAATCCCTACCACAGGCAAGTTTGGCGGCGCAACTGGAAACTTCAACGCACACCTTGTGGCATACCCATCAGTGGATTGGCGTGCTTTCGGGGATTTGTTTCTTTCTAAGTATTTGGGACTTAAAAGACAAAAGTATACAACACAGATTGAACATTATGATAATTTGGCTGCCTTGTGTGACGCTTGTGCACGGGTTCATGTTATCCTTATTGATCTTTGTCGAGACGTCTGGCAGTACATCTCAATGGGGTTCTTTCATCAGCGTGTAAAAGCGGGAGAAGTTGGTAGCAGTGCAATGCCGCACAAAGTGAATCCAATTGACTTTGAAAATGCAGAAGGAAATTTATTTTTGGCTAATGCTATGTTAAGCTTATTTTCATCTAAATTACCTATATCACGCCTTCAGCGTGATTTAACCGATAGCACCGTACTTCGCAATTTGGGTGTACCAGTTGGACACGCTTGTATCGCCTTTTCTTCTATTTTACGGGGTCTTGATAAGTTATTGGTGAGCCGTGCGACAATTGAGAAGGACCTCTCCAATAATTGGGCAGTGGTGGCAGAAGGTATTCAAACTATTCTTCGCCGCGAATGTTACCCAAAGCCATACGAAGCTCTAAAGGATTTGACGCGTGGTAATCAAGATGTGACAGAAGAGACAGTACATAAATTTATTATGGGTCTTACTGGTATCTCAGAGGATGTGCGGCGTGAACTGCTATCCATTACACCTTTCACTTATGTGGGGTACGTCCGCCCGCACATGTAAATTTTGAAGAATGGATACTGCTCTAGTGAGCACTGCAGAAACAAAATACGAAAAAATGTAGGATGAAAAAATTAGGGGAAAAAAAGCAGGTAAAGAGATAAGAAGAAAAAGAAAGAGAAGATACCATGTTTTTGTTTTTCCTGGTTGGGTGTCCCACTCTCTATCCTCTTTCTTCTTAAATTGATCTTGCCTTCAAACGTCTTCATTTCTACTGATTTTTTTTTTTTTTTAAATCTGAAACTATCTCTTTTCGAACGCACCAAATCATTTTCTTTGTAAGAAAAATGTGATATTGGGATGCATGCTCGTATGGTGTAAGTTCCAGTGGAAAGGAATGAGTCTGCAAACATTTATAATGCATATATATATATATATGCTTTTTTCTGTATTCATGCTATTTTTCTCTCTCTTATTATTGCTATAATTCTTTCGTTGCTTCTTCCCTTTTTTTTTTCTTTTTTTTTATCAATTACTTTCTTTGTAAGAGAGGGAGAGAGATAGGATTAACTTAAATAATCATACTCGAGGATAAATTGAACAGAATTTGAGAATGCCATTTGTGAGTAAGGAGGGAGAGAATAATTACGCGATGGTTCCTCGCGAAGTGGAGGATGTCTCAGCCCCACCGACGGAGGTGGGTTTTCTTGACAATGCCAGCATCTTTTCCGACTCCGTGGATCTCGACGCTGAGAAGAAGCGGGTTGCTGACGATATTCAAGAAGACCAACACGATCAGCCATACGAACAGCAAGAAGCGCTTTCACGCGGAGTTCACAGTAACGCTGATACAGCTTCCGTAAGGAACGGCAGTGTTGAAGTATCGACTGAGCAGCAACCAAAGGCTGCCATTAAGCCACGCCACACACCATTGTCTGCGCCAGTGCAATGGGAACCCATTTCCCTTGCTGTACCAGAGGATGACCCAAATGATGAATTTGACATTGGTACAGCGAAGAAACCAGTGTTTGGGCCTTCGACAGGCACTAAGGAAAAATATGTCTTTGTGAATGGTGAACCCGATCTAAAGGGTGAAGTGGTCTCATGTTTTGAAGAACCAGGACTACTCTACCGCGTTGTGGACAAGTCAAACAAGATTTGGGCCTTCTATAATGACAGCCTTTCCTTCGAGGTACATGTCTCATGTACTTTTGGTAAACACTCAAAGATTGAAGCGTTAGAGAATACTACAATTCATCGTGATGAGAATGGCAATTTTATTGCTGAGGTTGTCGTTTACCCAGCTGAGACAGAGTTCTTTGTCAAGGGATTTGTAAATGGATTCAGCAGCCGAATGCGTGCATTACCGATATCAGATGAGTACCTTTCTGAGTGTCAACAATTACAGTTTACCAACGTTGTGGAAGTTGATATGAACTATGTAAAGGCTCTTGTTGGTGATAATACCGATGCCACCAAGGCATTGGAAGAATGTGTAAAACATAATGTACCTTTTGTGGATATGGAATTTCCACCAATACAGCTTTCCATTGAAGCAGGTGCAAAGAGGCCATTAAAGCTGCTACCTTGGTTTCGCCCTCAGATGTATTTAAACCCAGCCCTTGTCGACCAGATCCGACTCTTCCGCAAAGAAATTGTACCTGGCGATGTTCGACAAGGGGAACTTGGTGACTGTTGGTTTATGTGCGCCATTACAACTCTTGAAGAGCACCCAGAAATGGTTCAACGTATGTTTCGTCACCCACAGGGTGCGGAAGTGGCTCGTGAAGAGCGGGCTGTTGGTGCCTATCGTGTGACACTTAACAAGAATGGACTTTGGAACAGCGTAATTGTTGATAATTATTTACCTGCTCTTGGGGGCAAACCAAAATTTGCCAGCAGTACAGATCTTTGTGAAATGTGGCCTTCAATTCTTGAGAAAGCTTATGCGAAATTGCATGGTAGCTATGGAATGATACAGTCCGGTGATCCTGTTCATGCCCTCACCGATATGACAGGGTGCTCTTCTTCCCGTTTTGATGACGCCTTCAACAAGGCAAAAGAGGACGGTGGAAAAGAATTCTTCCGGGATTTGCTACAACTACATAACTCTGGGTACCAGCTCTTGTTAACTACCCCTGGAAAGGCTCCAGCTTTTCTTCTTGGGACTGATACACATGCCAATGCTTTCAGTAATGAACCTGAGTTGGAAAAGCTTCTCGGAGGAACCGGTCTTATTCCCGGACATGCATACACTGTTGAAGAAATTTACCATTTCCCTGATGAAGGTGACGTAAGATTGATGAAGATTCGCAATGTTTGGGGATCTTGCAAAGAATGGAATGGACCATGGTCTACTGGAAGCAGTGAGTGGGAATCGCACCCCAATGTGGCGGTGTCTTGCAATTATGAAAACACTGATGATACAAGTGTTTGGATGGATTGGGAACACGTGTTGCAGTTCTTCATTGGTGGTGGTGTTCACTTCCTTAACGAAGCGTATGACTACCGTGTCCCAATAATCTTTGCCGACTGTCGTCCATCACTTGTCATGGAAGTGAGTGTGGATAGCCCGGTGAGGGTTTGCGTTTCGCTATCCAATGTTGACCATCGTGGACTCTACACAGAGAACCAAGACGATGAATCTCGTGAATATCCACCACTGATGATTTCCATCTCTTCTACACACCCCGACCAGGAGGGCGTACATAAAGTCATTCAAAACTCCTCCGTGGACCCCGCGAACCCGTCGCCGGACAAGTGGACTTTCATGCAGGGACGTGATGTCAGTATGTTCTACGAACTCACACCAGAGCAGTCCCCATATCTCATTATCCCACGCATGATGGAGACGGAAGAAACCACACACGGCAGCAAGGCGTGGTTCACAAGCCTGCAGGGCAAAATCCACCCGCTGCATTTCGTCAACTCCCATCCAAGCGAGGGCAACGTGGCGGAGGTGCCGGTTGTGTTGGGCCTCCGCTGTGAGCAGCCGGTGGGCGACGGTGGTGTCCGCGTGGACTTCCGCCGCCTCGAAGACGACAACGTTGTGTTTGAGAACTTCCCAAAGTTCCCAGCCGATACAGTGGCAGTGGAGGAGGCGTACTACCAGGTGCGGACACCCACACCAGGATTCGCCGTCGAGAAGGTGGGTCCATCCCTTTTCTGAACAGAGCCGCTCTCTACGGATTAAAGCAATATGCATACATGCATACACACACACTACTATATTATATATGAAAAATGAAGAGTGTGTCTTTTTTTTTTTTTCGGACGAGCAAAAATAAAAAAATATCTTTGACAGCAATTATTAACAACAGTAGCAATCAAATGGTGATGAAAAAGGGAAAGAAAGAATTTCTGCTGGGGGTGAAGGAAAAAAAAAAAAAAAAATAAGCAAAAAAGAAGAAGAAATAGGTGAAAATGTAGAAAAAGAAAATGAATGTATGAGAAAACTCCAGAAAAGAACACTTTCTCTCTTATCACCTCTTCCCCTCTTTATATTTTTATATCTCTTTTTTTTTCGTCTGCCAGGGCGATTTTTTGTAATAACCAGATATGCACACAATGATAGATGGATGGGGAGGAAAATATGTTGTGCAACTATATCGAATGATTGGTTATGGGTATAACATAAAAAAAGAAAAAGAAAAAAATGGTCATCGTTGTCAATAATAGGGTTTGTTTTTCACTGTTTAGCACTCATTCTTTCCTCTCTCTTTTTTTTTTTTTTCAGTGTACCCTTTCTGTTTTTTTTTTTTTCATGATGAACTTTGTCATTAGAGGAGTAAACGAGTAGACTAAATGTCTACTAAACACCACATTATCTACCTTTTTGCAACATCACATTTCTTTTGTATGTGTGTATGTATGTGCTGTTGATGATGGTTTCTGGTGTTTTTTTTTTGTTTTGTTTTTTTTACTATTCTTTGGTCTCCGTCTCTCACCTTTTTTGTATGTGAGTAGAGTTTACCCACTTAGAGAATCGTGGGTAAACAATTGTTTCTATTGATTGATTTATTTTAGAAAGAAAAAGAAACCAAAAGCAAAAAAAAATATAATAGACAAAAAGAAAGGAGCAGTTTTTTTTTTTTTTTTTTTACTTCTTTCTGTATCTCCTGCACACTGTGAAGCATCCTATCTGAAAAAGACATCAACAATCAAATATGTCTGTGGAGGGAGCACACTGTTAAAGGAGCGAAGTGCAAGAAAAAAAAAAAGCAAAAACAAATAATGTTTTTTTTTTTTTTTTTTTTTTTTTTTTTTTGTGGGAGGGAGGGGCAACGTTAGTGAAATTAAGAAACTCTAACCTTGTCAGGCTTTTCTTCGTATCTTTTTATATCGGGTTTGCCCTTTTTTTTCATCTCTGTGTACATACGTTAGATATCTACGCAATATGTACGGTTCTAGGGAAAAAGGGAACGTGTCGAATTTTTGGTGACTCTGTATTTCTTTTCTCTTGGTTATTACTTTTTTTATATATATGTATGTCTTTTTGTTCTTATATAGGTTGTTTTTGTTCATTTTTTTTCTTCCGTTCTTCTGTTTTTGTGGTATGAGTGTATTGGACCGTTGATGGCTGATTCCTTATTAATGCAGAGCTACAATGCGTATTGCGGTGGTCAAGGGTTTCACTGGATTCTTCTTATTTCTTCTTTTCTCTTTTTTTGTCCATCTTCTCTTTCCTTTTTTTTTTTTTGCCCCGCTTGTGGATATGAAGAGGGTAGCTGAAGGTTAGAGAGGGAGTGTGAAGTGGAGAAGGTGTGTGATATTCCTTTAGTAAAAATAAGGAGAGAATATCGAAAGAAATTGTTACATCTCTTTTTTTTTTTTTTTTTAAAGAGTTATTCTTGGAAAAAAACGGAAAATAATAACAATAGTGTTTGTTGTTATTTTAACGTTGGTAACGAAGAATACAATTAAAAAAATAAGAAGATAGAGTCTAATTTAGTAAGATTAAAAGATCATTTCCTTCTTCCTTTCATCTTATTGCATATCACTGGTGTTAGGCAGAGTGAGTGTTCCGTTTATCGACCATGATACACCACTGCTGCAGTTTCTTGGTGAGGCCGCTACTGCTTCTGCTGATGTTATTGATGATGTTTGTAGTTGTGGTAGTGGCTGAACGTGACGTACGAGAAGAATCCTCTGGACTTTCTTGTCCGGTTGGATGGACATCGTCTCCATTGTGGTTAACTCCAAATGATAACGCAACGTGGTGTGTAAAACCACAAGCGTCTCTAGTAACACCACTCGAGGTAGACGGGGCGTGTAAACATATATTTGATGTGGATTCACCACGTGATAGTAGCGGAAATGTATACACAAAATTAATACCCCAAGCAGTTTCTATTTACTCTGAAGAACAGAACACCTGGCTACAACAACTGTTGGCCCCATTTTCTGTTCAAATGGGTGAACTAGTGCTGCTCGGTGGTGCAGCAGGGTTTGGTGATATAACTTGGCACCATTATAGTGGCACCATAAATGGTACAGCACCCCTTTACACACATTTTGCCCCTTCAGTAAATTGGCAAGATAGAAGTGGATGTATTGCAATGCGACAGGATGGATTCTGGGATCTGGTCGATTGTTTGTCCCCGAAGAGGCCCTTTGTCTGTGGGGTTTTCTTAAACATAACCACTGATAACAATTCTACAGGTAATGATAGTAATAACTCTGTCCCGACAACGCAGCCACCCACAGAAGTAGTTCCTGATGATACTCCTAAACCAACTAGACCTCCCGTACCATATCCACCATTGGAATGCTTGAATGGGTGGTCACCATACTACGACAAATGTTATCGCCTCTTTACAATGTCAAGAGAAACAGAAGAAGAAGGTATGAGTCAACAGGAAGCTAGACAATACTGCGAGGCAATAAATCCTCATATTACCCTTACTGCAATATTAAACGAAAATGAGGCTTTATTTGTTGATCATCTAGTGCAAGAATGGGCGAAAGATCATCTTGAGAGTTTATCTGTAGTTCAAGTCTTTATTGGTGGTATTTTTACCTCATATGGTTCAGTAGGTGTATGGTATGAAGACTCCCTCTGGTATGATGATAGGGATTTTGCTCTTACTTTCCCTTCGAGTCCAACCTGGCCCACGCCTACTAATAATTTATTCTCCAATTGGGATATTGGGGAACCAAGTATGTCTTTTGGCTGTGTTGCTGTCCTTCCCAATAGCACATGGCGTGCGGTGGATTGTCGATTAACCTTACCTTTTGTGTGCTCATACCTTAACGATGGATCTGTTACCGTAGAGGAACCTACTGTGATGCCGAATGACACCTCGGATTCTTCCGAGAATGAGGAGACTACTACTAGTACTACTACTACGACCGCCGCTCCCACCCCACCGCCGAATTTCTTATGCATGACGGACTGGACGTACTTTGCTCCTACTCACCGCTGCCATCGTATCTTCAACGACCGTAGTATTGCCGCAGCGGATCTCGAGCAGCATTGTGAAGATCTCCTCATCGCCACAGCCGCCCCTGCCGACGCCGTGCATGCCGCCACCATCACAACCGTCGAGGAGAGCGCCTTCGCTGGTCGCCTCGTCGCTGCCGCCGGCCTCCCGCGGGCACTCATCGGCGTATCGTACACCGCCGGTGGACTCGCCGGGCTCTTTCTCGACGGCGTCACCGACTGGCGGCCGAACCTCGCGGCGAGTCTCTGGGCCCCCGGTCAACCCGCACGCGAGAGCGGCTGCGTCACCGTCGGACCAACAGGCGCCTGGGCACACATTCCGTGCGGCGTACCCGTTCCAGCGTATGCATGTACGTACCACGCCGGTGACGTGCAGCCACTGCCGGAACCGCAGCCGCAGCCAGAGGAGACCCCCATACCCGTCCCAACAACTTCCACCGAAGCCCCGGGGAGTGAGGAGCTGCCGCTGGAAACACGCATCACTTCACTCGCAGGTGCAGGCCACTTGATGGTGGCGGCCGGTACCGTAGGCATCTACACCGTGGCAGGTAACGGTGGTCCGACAGATGGACTCTTGCTGATGTTTGCACCCGACCTTTCAGAGGAACTGGCAGGTGTTGGATGGGGGATGAAAACTGTACACCAATCACCATGTGGGAGTTACAAGAAAGAAGAGTATATTTTTCCTGTGATGCAAGGAGTGGTGACGGTGTCTCACCCAAACGAGACGATGCGGGGTCGCGTGTGTATCTCCAAAGACGGATTACGCTACGTACCCGCAGGTAATATAACCTTTGAAGTTGTGGATGTGCTATTGCGTGGTTTTATTCCCCTTTCACCGGTGATTGAAGAGGAAGAGGGAAAAGAGGCAGAAATAGCTAAAACTAGGATAAGTAATACATATGAGAGCAAGAGATCTGACGTGGAAAGTAAAGAGATTGGAATTTCATTAGGATCTACTGGTATGTTGCAACCAGTATTTTATCAAGGTAGCTATCAAACGACAGCCAAAATTCGATACTTCCGGTTTTCATCTTCTGCAGATTGTGAAAGTAGTCGTTACAATCTTTTTGGAGAAAATCTTACCCTTGTTCAAAATGGAGAGAAACACCTCGTTATTACATACCAGGTTGCTGATGTGGTTCCAGTTGACAAAAGTAAACTTGAGAGGTTACATGATCCTTCATTTGATGAAGAACAACCACCCACGGAGTTTTTCGTATGCGTTTCTGTTTTTAAAAATACTACCGAAGTTTCTATGTCTTCTCTCACTATGGAAGGAAATGATACCGATAGCCCTTTACAAACTTCATTCTTTAATTCTAATCAGGATGAGGTAAACTACGAAAAAAATGAGGATATAGAAGGCATAACTACCCAGTCTATCGATGGAAAACCACTTTGGATTTACACAGTAGTTCCAAATATACGAGTGTATATAACCCCACCACATGTTGTGATTCGTGGTATGTGGGGTCTTTCTCCCGCTATGCGTGATGACATTGATACTACTATTTTTCCGCTATCTGTGGCATCGAAAAAATCAATTGTTGTGCCTCAGTTCTCATCACCTATTATTGTATTTGATAGTGAGGGATTACGAGAGGGGATGACATTCTTGTTATCTCAGAAAGTTGGGGAATGTTCTCGTGAGCAGTTAGTGCTGCATCGTGACCCAAGTAATCCTTCAATACCTGATACATTGGATACGATGATTGCTATTAGTACATTGAATGTATCTACAAGAACAACTACAACTACTACAAGAACTGCAGATAATAATACTGGTGTTACCCGTGACAATTTTGTTGCATTTATTCAGTTGAATTTAAATCATACAGGAATGTGGGGTACAAACGTCAGTGAAGATATTCAAACATGGCAGGTTTGTTTTGCATATACCCCACTCTCACGTTTTATCCCTCTTTCAAAAATGACTATAGTAGTTCAGCGTGCCAATATTTCTTCTATCACAGCTCATGATGGAAATGACAACAGTGTGAGCAGTGACGTTTATCGACAACTGAAAATCGGTGTGGGTTTCAGTGGACTTTTAAAGTTGTGGGGTCTTGAAGTGAGTATGTGGTCACCAAGCACAATTAGTACTACCGAAATTGCTTTTGCAATGGCTCCCCCAGGAAATGCAGCTATTTCTGATCCAAAGTTTCAATGTAGTAACTCGTCTCTTTTCTACGGTGATCGTACTTTTAACATTGTTTTGCCGCGTAACACTGCTATGGGTATTGGTCGAACCTCATTCACAGAAGAGATAACACATAATGTATTCCAGGAAGATCAAAATGATAATCAAGAAGCAGCTGCTGTTATAATTCCTCCGGGGTTTCTTCGGGAAGAAACTATGCGCCGTATGCGTGTTTGTTTATCTTTGCCTTTGCCATTTCAGAGTGACAGTCGTGTTTTCCATCCTACCAGTGTTACTCTTGATGTCCGACCTGTTGAAGTGCATTTTATCGGATCCTATGCGGCCAGTTTTCCTACTTCTGCATCACAGGATCGTTTGACGGTTGTAGAAGTTGCTGAAAATGTGAATGATCTAGTGTTGCCAATTACTGGCTACGGGTTAAGAGACGACATGATGTTATTCCTTTCAGAGGAACGCTGTTACCCGAGACTTGGAGAGGGGGATGGAAATGATGAGAGCGTGTGGGGATATGTAAACCGCATTAGTCGTATGAACTTTACAATTATGCGTTTTTACGACGTACCACCAAACTTCCAGCAAGTGGGATCTTTGCAAGGTTCGGCTAAAGCGGGTGATGTTTTTATTACACTTAATACCTCCCATACGGCACCTATGATAGCAGATCATGTGTTTGGAACATCCCGTAATCCTCTTTTTATGTGTCTCTTTGTACCATCTACGCATCGTGCGGTGTATCCACTCCCATTCAAGTTTGTTGTACGTCCACCTCGTGTGACTTCTATTCGCATGGCACACCAGTCCTCTGAACAGGAGGAGAAAGAGGAAAATACCACCGTGGTAACAACAACTAAAGGAAGAAGTGAATTACAAGATTCACCAGTATTGATGTATGCATCATTTGTTGATCTTGTTGTAGAAGGGTTCGGATTAAATGATGAAGAGACAGTTTTTGTACCCGCAGTTAATTGCAGCAACGCTACAAGCTTTTTATGGCGAAGTCCAGTCCGTACTTCAGGAGTTCCGTCAATGGTATCTAATCCTTTTGGTAACTCTGCTCATGATTCATCATCCGTATTGTCACGTTATGTGAATCCCCTGACTTCTATGTCTTCGTGGTTTCTATCACTCTCACAGGCGCACACGACACGTATTGGAGCAATAGATCCAGGGAATGGTATTGTTGATCGCTTCCAGTGGTGTGTGCGATACAGAGATGTTGATGCGTTTGAGACTGGTCGTAGTAGCAGTAGTAGTAGTAGTAGTACTAATAGTAATAGTAGCAATAATTATAATCAATATGGTAATAATATTGGAGATCATACAGGTGACCGCGCATCCACGTTAGCAGAAGATGATTATGATTGGAGAAGAGGTTTCGTACCAACAGGCATTCCATGTCGCCTTGTCATACCTCCCGCAGATGGATTTCTCTTCGGAAACAGTACGACAAAACACATTACACTCAAAACACGTCACCCAACATTAGGACATTGGGAAAAGATTCAACTGGTTGGCCCTCTTATCGATCATACAACTGCATTAGGGAATCCACTATTTATGTTTCTTGCTGAAGAGCTTGTTCCATGCAAAAAACTCAAAAATTACTTTATCAACACAAATGATTCAGATCGTTTTATTGTGTCGGTAAATGGCTCCACTGTTATTTTACCAAAATTGTTGACCAATACTGGAAGGTTTAAACTGTGTGCCAGTGCCATTTATCCTGAGCGACGCTCTTCAGAGGAGGGGACCGAAATGGCGTTACAATTTTTTGAACTTAAAGGATTACGCATAGATTTGGTAGAACCTGTTTACGCGGTCTTTTCGTTGAACGGCTCTGAGTACGTTAACGTGGAGCAAGGACAAGAGTGGACCCTACCGATAAGTGGATCAAGTATCTCTAACCGATCTATTGTACGGTTCCGGTCCCTAAACGCAAATTGTAGCACTCCTATGCCTGATGGATTGGATGATGTGATTGTGCGTGATGTCTTTGAAGGACTGAAACTTTTTGGTGATATTGTTTCGCCTTCAGAGCCAAATGAAGGTGAAGGGGAGGTTGGCAGGCGTCATTATATTGTACTGGAACGTGATTTTATTAGAGGACTTCCAATACAGAAATATAAATTATGCTTCAAACCTGATCGTTCCACAGAGTGGTTGACCTCTGGTGTAGTATTAGATGTACACGAGCATGTTCGCCATCCCACACGATATAATTACTTTGCTGATGATGGAAGCGAGGATATTGTTTCTGTAACAGCACTTCCACCCACAAAAGTTGCGCTGGAATGGCTCACACAGGAGAAGGATACAACAAATATTGTGGGTGCTATTGCCCGTGAAGTGGCAATGGCACTCTGGTGTCGTGGTGGTGCTGTAACAACAGAGAGTAGAGATAATAATAATAATAATAATAATACGACAGTAGTATCTTGTGGGAGTTGGAGGCGGGTGATGTTCGTACGCCCCCTGGACGATGACAGAAATCCGTGTTTTGTGGATTATGAAGCTGTGCAGTCAGACATTGTACGTGGTCCGTATGTACTCAATGACGGTATTCTCACTATTCCTCGTGATGTAAGTCGAAACGTTAGTTTCTATCCCAACACAACACAACCGTGGATTATGTGTCTGGAGACCGCACCAGAGAGATGGCGGGAGCCAATTAACCCTTTTGTACAATTACAGTTTACACCACCATTTCCAGTAGGGTTCCGTCATCAACCTGATGATTCTAGCAACAGTTCTGCGACTTTCTTTAAACAGATGAATCCAGAAGTTATCACAGATGCTAACCGTATTGATGCGGAAGGTAATACTACACTGTTTTTACATATGGAAGATGCGAGTAAAGTATTTTACTTGAATGGTTATGGTATTCAGCGTGGTTTTAAGATACGTTTTGGGTTACATTGTGATGAAAAAATTAATTCTCAAGATTTAAATGAAAATCAAACAATAGAAGATGTAATTTGGCGAATGCAAGGTCTAAACAACACACTTCTCTATCAAGTTCCGCTAACTATTGAGGATGATCATGGTGTATTTCTTATCCCTTCCACTCACTTCACCCATTTAGAGGAGAAAACACCGATGTGTCTTTCAAGTGATAATGGTACTTCTTACATGATGACAAATCTTTCATTAGTGGTGCTACCATCACAATTGCGGTATGATGTACCCCAAGATGAGTCTCATGTATCTGAAGTTGCATTTCAACACACACTCGTTGTTCCGCGCTTGAGTAAGGGAACAGTAAACCTTACCGATATTTATATTGACAACGGTATTAATAAAACAAATAATACCAATTCTAAAATTACTATTTTTAAAGTTGGAACACGTGTAATGTTATCTTCTGTTTGTTATGAAAATCGTGAGCAACTTCCCATAATTATTGTAACAACACCAAACTTAATAACACTTACAGAAACACACACTAGTGTTGCTAATAAATACCGATTGCATATATGTATTGGTACTGGAAATAATACATATAAAGATAATGAAATAACTACTTTAGGATTCCTACCGTCTGGTCTCTATTTTCGTGTATTAGATGTTGCTGTGACATCTATTGCATTACACAAGACTATTCCAAACACTGTTGCAGAAGAAAATGGTGTTCATCATCTTATTGTTCGTCGCAGTACCGAGTCTATGCTCCTCGATGTTACGATAGAGCGAAGTACAGCTGACGAGAAGACTAGTAGTAATAACATGAGAGAAGTATCCACCTCTACGCCTAGCATAGAAGAGCGATATATCGATATGTTAGACACTCCTGGTGCATTGGCACTTTTCCGTTTGGCAAAATTCCGTCTAGGAAAACCTTGTGTTATGCCAGATCCAGAGGAGAAGGAAGCTACGGTTAATCTTCTCACTGCTGTAACTGCTACCTTTGTAAATGACACTTTAAGTGTAGCGACACAAGATGGGACCTCGGTAGAAAATGTTGTGTTGCCCCTTCATACAGCGAAGACAGAGACAGTAGAACCTTGGGCATCTTCCTCTTTGTGTTTCTCTGTAGATGGCGGTCGTCATTACCTTTCTGTTGGTATTTCTTACGTTTCGGTGACATGGGCGCCAACATTACGTGTGCAGGTTCCTTTAAGGGACGAGGATGATGATGATAATAATAACGATAATGAAGAAGAAGAAGGAGAAAAAGAAAACTCTCTGGGAAGGGAAATCAAAGGTGGTGATTACCCAGTTCTCTCCACAGTTATTCATTTATTTGAACAGGAAAGTCTTTATGGTAAACTTGTGGATATACGTTACAATGACTATTCCTCTTCCATTAAGGATACACCACTAAATCGATACTTGGGTAGTTTTACAGCAGATGCTCTTTGGTCTGGTTTCTTGGAGAATGCTGGGTTTGCGGTTGGTGGTGAAGTTTATCTCTCGGCTTCAATGGTAGAGAAGAACGAAGAAAAAGAAGAAGGTGCCGAACTACGTTTTTCAGTGAACTACCGCCACCGAGATATTGCTACAGGATTAACCATGCAAGTAAAACCCATGGCTCTTCGTTGTATAGGGGAAGTACCAACTACTTTTCAGCAACTTCATCCTCAGTCTAATGGATGGCTTCTACCCATTGCGAATCCATGTGCCCGCAGTATTCAGGCTGGTACAACTGTGAGACTTGTTGATGTGAATGCTGTTTCTTGTGATGCCTCTGAAGTGTTTGACCACAAATATGTCTTTGATGGTATCTTGATGAAACCACGAGAGTGGTCAGGTCTCAAGATAACCCCAACGGCGGCGCTTCAACTTCCACCGGCTTTGCGTTACGTTCCAGATGGACAATACAAGGTCTGTGTGAAGAAATATATTCCTTACCATCTCGGTAAGGGGGTAATTTTTATGGATACACCTTTGAAAATAGAAATAACTTCATCTTTTATTGTGAATGAAGTTGGTTCAATACAACATGGAGCACTTGCTGCGTTTATGGGGGCTGAGTCAAATTTTGCATTGCGTGGATCTGTTGTACCTTTTATAAAGGATATTCGTATCGCCTTTGTACCGATAATATTAACAAGAAATAATATGAATACTGTAGCTACAGAGTGTAGAAGAGGTCTTCAATGGGGTTTAAAAAATAAAAATGCTAATGCAACGTCCTTGCCAATTCTGTGGAAAAGGTCCAAATCTTTTTCTCTCCATTTGGATCCAGAAGATCTTATTTCTCTTAAGAATCATACTACATACCGTGTATGCTACAGCGTTGATGGTGGTCTTAGCTTTCGTGAAGCTGGAGATGCGCCACCATTCCTGTTGATGGTAAACCTTTATCCTACTCTCTTGGGTATGTTGACTACGAGGCATAATGTTTATAATCCTAATATGGTGACACCTTCTTCTTTGCGTCTGGAACGTTTCTTTACTCATGACATATTATCTATTCCTGTTTCATCATATACATCACCTGCAAAAGTGGTTTTATTTGAAGATAGACCACCTAGCTACTATTACAATGCAAGTATGTGTTTTGTTGGAAATGGTATTGGAAAAGGAAGTGGTCGTGGGGCAGCTGGTGCAGTAAAGGCATTAGCTGTTGCAATTCTTCGAACTGATATTTTTGGACATGTCTGTAATGGGAACAATTTAACATCTATGATTAAAGCAAATGAGGAGGTACATCCAAGCTGGGGTGATTATATTCTCAATCCATTAGCACTTCCAGTGTTTGTTGTGAATGCACGTAGCGGATGCCTTTGGGAGTATACTTCAGATAATAACACTAGTAACAGTATGGGGAGTAATGATGAAGATAGTAGTAGTAGTAGTAGTAGTAGTAGTAGTAGTAGTAGTAGTAGTGTGTTACGACATGATTGGTTGGCTCACACTGCCGCACTACGAGCCGCAGGAGGACTCAATATGCAGGCAATAATGCAGAGAGCGTCAACTGCAGAGGAGCGTTCTAGTCGGAAATCCACTTCGTACCTTGTGTGTACATCTATAGATGGTGTCCATTTCTACAGTGCCAACACACCACTTCAGGAAGAGAACAAGAGCGAAAATAGTACGTGGGAGCCGTTTCTCTCTTCACTGACAACTAAAATACCACGTGAAGCGGCAGCACCATTAGAGAATGTTAGTCGTCTACCTCTCGTAATACGTCTAGATGAAGACATCAGCGGTTCATACTATGTACGTGATTTGGCTGTTATTGTTACTCTTGTCGTACGCCCGAATCTGATGACTGTTCATGACTCTGTGCGATTGGAGGGAACCCAAGAAGCACTTGAGCGCTTTCAGAGAAAAATTGCACAACTACTAGAGGTGGATCCCACTATCGTTGTGGTGCGCTTAGAAGATCGTGGTGTGGTCTCTGCTTTAATCAACGCTAGGGATGAAGAATGGGTGAAATACCCAACCTACACACTTTCTCTGTCCCTCCTGACAGACGTGCGTTCTTCTACTAACGATTTAAGCGCAGAGGAACAAACAAAAGATATCACACCGTTGCCAGAGTTGCTGCTACGTTACGTTAAGTTGCTGGGTGACAACAATACACAGAATTCTCTCTTCTCAACTCTGCTGAATCCTGGTGTTTATGAGAGGGGGCTCGCTAGGGTGTGGGCACCGTATGTGAACTTTACTTTTGGCACTGGGGATGATTTGCATGCAGCACTTCTGCATCATAAGAGCAAATTACCTAAAATGCCCGTCGAGGAGTTGGCATGGCGAACCCGCTTTGCCGCCGTCCCACACGACACCCTCGTCGCTGATAACATCCCTGATGAGTCATCAAAAGACTCAACAGCAGGAATACCCTTCTGGACACTGTTACTACTTATTGTGCTGCCTGTCGGCCTCATTGTGGGATTAATACTTGGATGCAGGCAGCGCGTTCAGTTCCAACAACCAGGGAAGGATCAGGGAAGGAAACGACAAGGGCAGGCAGAGCGACAAAATGGCCACCATTGAGAGAGTAAGATATCAAGAGTTGTAAATGAGCACGAATGGGAGAATAAATAAACAAGGTCATGTTGTTATTGATGTCAGTGTCAGTGGTAAAAAAAAAAAAAAAGAAAGAAATCTATGACACTGAGTGTCAAGAAGCAAAAACAACAAAAAAAAAGATTAAACCTCTACTGTTATGTTTATTTCGTATTTCTTATTTTTCTTTTCTTTATTCGTACGCGTAACCCCTCCTTGTTTCCGTCGTTATGTGTTTTTATTTCCGTAAATATATTTCTAATTGCGACGGATTTCTCAAGTTCTTAAACATTTTCTTTCTTTTCTTCGTCATCGTAACCGTTGGGATAGTAAGGAAGGGAAAAGAACTCATACTCTCCCCATATGCGTTTTTTTTTTTTTTTTAATTCTGATTTTGAATTGGAGCGTACTACATATAACTTTCTTTCTTTCTTTCTTTGTATATGGGTGTGTGTGTGTGTGCCTGTATCTTCTGAAAGTGGTTTATTTAAGCCTTGTGTCTTGCCTTGACATGTGTTTGTCTTAAATAATACAATAATACGTTTTTTTTTTTTTTTTCTTCATTGTTTTATTTGGTTTTCTTTTTTGTAGGATATATTGCGGAGGAAGGTAGCACATACAATACATCTCCACACACGCGGGGATTTCGAGGAGCGAAATCATCATCAAGAACAACACGAAGGAGGAAAAACGGTAGGGTAAAAAAAAAATATATATATATATATATATATATATATATATCTATATCTATATCTGACAAGTCGCATCGAGTAACTCTAACAGCGAGCCAGGAAATAGAAATATTGAAAGTACAATCAAGAAGGAAAAAAAAAAAGTTACAAAGAAGAAAAAATAAGTTGCGCAAATGAGGCAGAGACGGCAACGCACAGAGTCTATGGTGCAGCGCTTTGCCAGGACATCCGTCAGTGAGGGTTTTGATCTCTGGGACAAGGACTATCTCTTAGGTGCATTGCGGCTGTTCCTATTTAAAGGTGAGACGGCCCCACCGTTTCAGGTTGGCCCTTGTATGGATGCAACTGGGGAAATTCTTGTGCAGATGGAGGAGTACGAGGATGCGAGTGAGCAGTTTACGCTTGCGGCGGAGAAGTATGCGCTCATTCAGCGTAATGATCTGGCGCAGCTGATGCGCATCAAGGCGGCGGAGTGCACGGATGGTCCTGAAGAGGCGCTTCGTCAAGTAACGGCTTATGTATCGGAGCAGCGGGAGATGACACCGGGCCTCGCTCGTGCCCATGCCTATCACGCCCAGTTGTTGCTGAAAACGGCGAAGGATATTAACGCTGTGGCGCCTGAAGCCGTTGCGGCTGCCCGTCTTGCGTGCAACAACTGCTGGGACCGCGTGCATGTGGGGTACGTGACGCTTGGCGACGCCCTTTGTGCTGCTGGCCGCCCGACGGAGGCGTGCGAGGAGTACCAGCGGGCGGTGGAGGCGAACGAGAACTGCATTGCGGGGCTCGAGCGGCACATGTCAGTCCTGCGCGACCGGCTGCGCGAGACCACCGACGGGGCAGCGCAGAGTCGCCTGCGGTCGGAGCTCCTGCGGCTGCTGGACGCGGCCATCGCCCTCCACCCCCGCCCGACGCTGCTGCGGGAAAAGGCGTTTCTCCTCAGCGAGACGGCGGGCGACGCGGCCGCGCTGGACTTCCTCGAGCCCCTCATCCGCAACCCGCCGCCGGAGGAGGCCGACGCCGCCGCCAACCAAACCGTCACCACGCTCCTCAAGGCGAAGGCGGCCATCCTCGCCGACAGCGGAAGTATGAAAGAGGCGCTCAAAGCCGCAGAGGCCGCCCTGCGCGAGAGCCCAGGCGACGAAGAAGCAGCCGCCATCGTGGCAGAGATACAGCAAAGCGTCTAGAACACAAGAATACGAAATAGGGAGAGGGCGAAAGAGATAACTTGTATGGAAAGCGAACGAAATTGAAAAAAAAAAAAGTAAAAAGAAAGATGATCGGGAGCGTTCATTCGTTGCGTCCCTTGGCAAAGAGAGAGGAGCAAAAGGAAACAAAAAAGAAAAATAGGCAAAAGGGGATGTAGAGAATACATAACAGAAAAATATGCTAGGACGTAACAAGCGTGTTTTTTCTTGTTGTTGTTTTTTTTTTTTTGTCCACAACGTGGAAAAAAAAAAGAAAAGAAAAAGAAAGAAAGAAAGTAGAAGGAGGAAAAAAAATAGTTATAGAGATGGCTACTGCGCACGCGCTCTACGGCGCTAACATTCTCTTAGAGAAAATCAATAAAAAAAAGGGGATATCCGCATACGAGCACAAGCAGAAACGTACTCCCAACAGAGCCATAGTGGGCGTTAATTGCTTTGTGTGCTTGTACTTCTCTTTTGATGTCCCTTACATATCGTTGTTCTACTTTTCTGTTTTTTCTCCTCCTCGGAAGCAGTGATGGTAAAAAAAAAAAAAAAAACGAAGAATATTGAGTAAGAAAAAAGGTAGACAAACCAAAAGTCAGCAGCAGTGGAAAAAAGAGGAAAAAGGAGAGAGAAGTGTTCCATGTATCTGCGTACAGTGCTTGCGTTGTATAGCTTGTTTTTTTTTTTTTTTTTTTTTTTTTGCTCGCAAAAAAAAAAAAAAAGAGATTGAAGGAAAGATAAAATTGGCACACGGTGAATGAAAAAGGGTAGAAAAGTTGATTGTACGACGCGCAAATCACGCGCTGTTTTTCTTTCCTGTTGTTGTTGAATGTTGAGTGAGACAATTTTGCAGTAACCAAGATTTTTGTGTATGTGTGTGGAATGATGCTTGCGATACTCAATGTAGTAGGCTCAAAAATGTGTTTCTTTCACTTCTTGTTTCGTGATGTTTCATTCTATTTTGTTTCGTGATGTTTCATTGTTTTGTTTCATTGTTTTGTTTTTTTCTGTGTTTAAATGTCAGATCTCCTCCATTCTTTCTTCTTATTCCTGTTTCTTCAGTATTACTTGTGTGCTCTGTTGCAAATGGGGGTGAGTGCGTTGCATGCAGTTTTGCCATCTCTCTCACTACTTCTTTCTCTCTTATGTGTAAGTGTTAGTGTGAGTTTGTATATGAGTACGTCTGTATGGGTTCACCCACTGTGGGTGTTCTTTTTCTTTTTCTTTTTTTATCATTTCCTTATTCCTTGCTTTTTTTTCTTTTAGGATGTGCTCCATCCAGAAGTGGCATTATGTTTTTTTTTCACTACTCTTCTTTTTTTTATTTGTCTTCTACCTTCTTCTATAAATACACACCATGACGGAGTCAATTAACTACAACAAAGTGTTTTAGTGGTAAAAGTGCCGATCAATCCACTTTTAGTTGAGAGTTAAAAGGTAAAAAGGAGAAGAAACAAAAAAAAAAAAAAAAACCCAAATAAAGAAAGAAGGGTGCTTATCCACTTGGTCTAGTCTTG